AGGTTACATGGTATAATATTAATGAGCAACGGGAAATCCCTGCTCTCAAATGTGTGAGCAGTCTGTCCCCAGGCTGGGTATTCATCCAAAATCCCTGTTCTTCCCTTCCATTGAGGATCGTCCAGTTGGCCTCAGAGGTGAGAATCAGGGAGTCTTTGCCATTGTTATACAAAGAAATTGATGCATGGGGGGGGCATCCTTTTGAGGCTGAAGAGATATGGTGCTTTTTGTAGGAGGTGGAGGGGAAAAGACATTTCAGACTTCATAGTAAGTGACATCATCAGGTGGTATTGGAGGTGGGAAAGACTGAGGGGAATGCTTCCTGCAGGTATGAGTAAAAATCAAAAGCAGTAGTTCTAGGATCATAGTTAGCACATCTGAAAACTTTGGGGCTGAAAGTAAGCAGCAGCGTGAAATATATTATGTGGTGATTTTTAGAGGAGCACACAATGCAACCCTTATCCGAAATACAGCTCCTGCATTTGTTTAGGCTTCCTTTCAAGTCCTTGATGCTACAGGAATTTCATTTCCCTCAAGTGAACTTCAGCCTCCTCTGAGCTGCAGCTTGGCGGCTGGTTATTTGGGCACAGCTATATTATGTTGAGCTTTGGGGCAGACATGAAAAGTGCAATAATGTGATGAAATTTCAGGAGGAATTGAGACGTGCTGTATCGCAGTGTGGTCTCCTTAGAACAGTAGGGCTAATGCACTTTCAATTGGGCCCTGGTGCGATTGGTCTCTAGGCCCTACTGTCATGTAAATGTCCACTAATAGCACTCCTGCCAAAAGTTCCTGGGTCTCTTTGCTGCTCTTACTGATGAATACCTTGTCTGTGTATAAGCTGACTAGCTGTCCCACCATCTATCTATATCTATGCCAGGCTCTTTTTCAGGCCCTTGCCTCCATGCATAACTTGGTTAAACACACAGTAAGACAAAACAACACTGCTCCCGTGACCAGAGCAGACCACAGGCCTTTCTTCTTGTTCTTCTCTGCCCTGGAAATAAGGCATACATCTTCTGTCAGCCCCTGCTCAGTGCTGTGCTAATGGCAGGCAGCCATTAACCTGTTCCTGTCTTGTTTCAGCTTGTGGTATAGGACAGTAGTGCCCAACCTTTTTGCTTGGTGGGCCACATTAGCAATGCCAGGTCTGTCCACAGGACAAATGCAGCTGGTGGGTTCAATCTGGCATGCAGGGATGGTGTGGTAGGCACCCAGTCTAGCTGCACGGAGTAGCTTGGCCCAGATCCGGATGTGCTGGCGGAGGGGTAGGGGTGGGAAGAGCAACTGTATCTAGCTGTGCAAGGGAGGGCCTGGGCCTGAACTGCCTGTACAGCAGTAGTCCGGCCCAGCTGGATCTGACTGCAGAACTCCCCTTCCCCCCCCTCCCTCCCCCCTTATTTCCTAGCCCAGGGGGATTCCTTTGAGCTGGATGCCACGGCTCCACTGGACAGATTTGAGCACCCCTGGTATAAAATGTCTGAAAATCCAGCAGCATAACTTCTTTAGCAGCCTCTTGGGGCATTTATTTAGTACTGAGAGGGGAAGAATGTGATGCCTCTAGAGTCACCAACACCAGTTTCTGTAGTTCCAAGGGCATTAAGTGTAGGTGGAGGCATAGCCTGACTTTGATTGAAATAACCTGTTAGTCATTTTGGGCTTAGGTCGGCAAAATCAAGTGAGGGCTGCCCTAGTTTCTCCCCTCTCCCAATTTCCTGTGCTCACTCTAGCGTGTGAAGGTGTTGGATTGGTAGGGGGGGAGGAAGGAATTGACTCCGTTCTGATGTAAATGCCAATTTCTGCAAGCTCCACTGAGCATGCAATGCAGAGCTTCTGTTTCTTGGAGGGACCAGGCTGCCAAAAGCCTTAGGAAATTGTGGTAGCTCTGCGAATATAATATTGAGGCTGTACTACCCTTGAACATGTGTACGAAAAGCAATTACCGCTTACGAATTGCTCCATGCGTCAGTATCTTTTTGTTTAGTAGTCTCACTTAAACTGGAACTCTGACCATAACTGATGCTGTTAGTTATGAAAATCAAGTCAACACTGCTTGGTCTGTTGAATTTGTAAGGGTCTGAAACAACAATGGCAGCCTTGTTTAGGTCTTTTATGTGGTTGGAGGTCTGATTGTGGAACAGTGTTTCTGATTTATTTCATTGAAAGAGAATAATATGAGGAAATGATTCTAACAAACATAATAAAGGTTGCTTTGTTCAGTTATTGAACTACTCATCAATTTATGATTAGTAAAATGAAATGCTTTCTGTTTTTGTTATCCATTGGCTGAGGACCATAAGTAGGCAGATCAGGTTGAAGAGAGCGTTTTAATTTTTTCTTTGATAGATTGGAGGAGGAATTAATTTTATAATAACTCTTTTGAACACTTCACATTTTTTCAATATAAAAAGCAAGTTCAAGAGCCCATCTTGACTATTAAAAGCCTATTTAGAGATGTCTCTCTTATGAATCAGTATTTGTTCAAGGATTTCTAGTGGATCTTCCATACTTAGCTTAAAAATTTGCATGAGTTTATTCTGCTGCCTTCTGTCCTGCTTGTGGCAGAGGATCTCTTGGTCATCTTCCACACTTCTGGAACCCTGGACCAGGGTGAAAGTGGTACTTCTTTGAAGTAAGATGAAAGCAAGGATAGTGTATCGGGGATTTTGTTTGATAATTAAAGCCATTTGTTTTGCTTAAAAATCCTTAGTTGACAAAAACAGCGGCACTCAAAAACATCTCAGCTGGAGATGTTTTGTTTTTGTTGTTTAACTCTCCAGACTTTCACACGTGCATGTCAGAGGGCTGGCTGCTGCCATAGTTCAGAATTAGGCAATAAGTGAATCTACATAACTGCAGTTGTCTGCCCAAAATGCTGACGTTGCAAAGGGTTGGTCCATTTTTTCCCTTTCTAGCTTTTTCTCCTAAGAAATTTGAACCATTAGCCCTAGCCTCTTTATTTTCAAGTTTTGATTTGTAACCAGAGTATCCCAGTAAGGTGTCATGACTGTCATCTGGGTTCCAGAGTGACTCATTCATATGGCAGTACAGTCCCAACAACAAGACCATGGGACATACTGATGCACACAATTTAGAACTGTGATTTTCAATCTTTTTTTCATTTGCGGACCCCTTTGAAAATTTAAAATGGAGGTGCAGACCCATTGAATTGTAAGTGTAGTATTCGCATACTTTTGATTGATCATAGTCGTCTTTCGCAAACCCCTTAGACATAGTCTGCGGACCCCCAAGGGTCCGTGGACCACAGTTTGAAAACCACTGCAGCATCAGGCTTCAGTAACTGCATTGCATGTACTCTGTTTTCTCATTGCATTGCATTTACTCCCTTTCTTCTTTCTGAAATTAGTCATAGAGGTCTGTTCAAGTTCACAGCTGGTGCAGAAATACTAGCATGAGTAGGATTCTTCTGGATTGAGATTTGTTGGATTTACCTTTTAGGTTCATACCAAATGGATTTTGGACACGGATGTATTTAACGAGTGGATGAATGAAGAGGATTATGAAGTGGATGAGAATAGGAAGCCAGTGAGTTTTCGGCAGCGAATCTCTATGAAGAATGAAGAGGTATGAGGTGTCCTTGCTGGCGGGTCACTTGTTGATTTAGCAGTGTTAATTATGTTCCTTACTGCTGTACAAATGAGAATTCTCAAAAATTTAGCTTCTAGTCTTTCAGGAACCAACAAGCAGATCTTGTATACACTTGACACGCTTCTAGATCTTGGGTAGGTTTGGTGGCTTCCTTTGTCATTGCAGGTCTTTTCTGTTCAGAACATATTGGGTAGAGACTTTCTTTGCTTTCATACACAGTTTAAATTGGGGTTAAACTGGTTCAGAATCAGTCCAGGTACTTAATATTGAAATTTCTCTGTGCCTACGTGTGCTGAGCTTACTAAACTTCATTTGTCCCTCTGCATGTGGGCAGACCTACGCATAACCTGGGCTGAAATCATGCTGGCATCGGGACTGGACAGATGTGCAGTTACCTTAGGGCAAGTCTGTGCCTCATTCACTAAGCAATGGGAGAGGAGAGCAAGGAATAGCCCATTTACCTTTAAATAAACAGCTACCCTGGGTTGGATGCAAGCAGATGCTGCAAACCTTTTAACTGTGGTAACTTCACCCAATCCAATGGAAAACAATTCCCTTCCCCCCCAACCCCCCCCCCAAAAAATCAGGCCTAACATCTGATACCCCAGCTAACCGCTATATCTTATCACCC